TAGGTTGTACAATGTGAAGGAAACTGTGCATGAAACATAATGTGTGACCATGTAAATTCCTTACCCGTGGTATTGTTTCTTATACTGTGATCGTAACTTCTTTCAAGTCCGAAGATGACCAGTCTTTAATAGCCATGCAAATGAACGTTGCTGAGCGAGCCTCTCTTATCAAAAGCCCTGGATTCTTTATGTCCTACAAGGTTGATGAGACCAAGTTTCTGACCAATCAAGCGAAAGCTACTGGAGTAGAACTTTCATGTAGCACTGTTTATTTTGTAGTACGAGGTATTTTTAGAATCTGTTTATGAAGTCTTTTTAGCAGTATTTTTTTCAAGTATTATTGCGGTAGATAATGATAAAGCCATTGTCAGCGTTTTGTTCCCAAATTATGGCGCTCTACCTTCACGGGTCCAATCTGTGCTTCCAGCAGTTAAAGGTTCACTCCGCGTGGTTTACATGTGAGACGGACAAGTGAGTAACAGCTACAGGCGCTGGGAAGCATACAGTTCCCTTCTAATCAATTCTTTGCTCGAGGTTACATTTGACAACGGTTTTCGGCAGAGAAGATTTTATCGAGATACATATAAAATTCATATCTGTTTTAGTTTTGGGCGACACTGGCCAAAAGCATCCCGTGTCTTATTTCCAAAATTTAGATGCAGTTTAGAGAGACTTCAAAAAAGGCTGGTCCCAAAAGACGAAAAACGCCTCAATTAATCGCCTTAGTGCTTCAAATGTAGTTTCACAACTTCCAAAATGCGGCTTAAGTGTGACAAATATTGAAGCTGTTGACCAGAAATTAAAAAAATAAAGGACATGATAAATGATAAAATGGGTTGTGATGTTTTCCTGTGGCGTTTCGTAACATTTAATGAAGTCAGCCAGGCCTTAAGTAAGAATAAGGGCTTTGTTTTTCAAATTCAATGTCGTTTCATTTCGATGAAAATGGCATTAAAAACCTATTTCATTTGTTTTCCACTTTTTTATTAGAAAAAATTCGAGGCAAGTCTAATTAATTTTATTTGTATCATTCTCTTCATAACAACAAACGTTCATGATAAAGATTTAATAAAATTTGTTGCCGCTGTTGTCTTAATGTGCGAGTTTAAGGGGGATCGCTGACTGTTATCTAAACCAAACACATAACCCAAACACTTTATTAGTTTTTTCTTCGCGATAACACAAAGAATAGGCGGAAATGTAAAAAGAGGAAATCCGCGACTACGCGACGCCAAGTCGAAAACAGCCGACCAAAATCTCACCATTGTCCTCTTTACTGAAGATACGCATTCTTTTGTAGAATAAAACTGCAGCTCATGTTGTTACAAAATGTTCCGTTAAGTTAATTTGAGAGCGAGATACATTTTCTACATTGATGCAATGACACTGAACTTTGTTGTTTTTTGTCACTGTTTTAGTATTATTTCTTTGAAGTACATTTATAGTTATATGTACATTGCTCGCCGTGATTATTAAGCTTCCCGTCAGTGATTTGGTACAACATGATACAAATTTGACATTTTTAAACTCCAGAGAAACTGTCACATATAGAATACAAAGAATTCTAAGTAATGGTGATGTCGCAAGTGGACGAAGCAGGCCTGGTTTATTACTGAAATAACGTTTAGATATCGTTTGAAAGGCAACTTTCACTGATGTACTGTTGCTGTCTTTGTCTGATGTTATGATATCTCATACGCTTACTGACGCAGCTAGCATCGTGCCACCAAAATCACAATTTATCCAATTAAGTATTTGTATGACATTCGGCACTTTTGAAGTAACAGGGAAATAAAAGAAATCATTTAAACGGTTTTATTGAAGCGAAAAAACACGATACCCATGTTTTAATGTTTCATGACAATTTTTCCAGAAGCGTTAAAACAACAAAGGTTTAGGGTTGTGTACCTGTGAAAACAATGATAAGATTAATGAAGTTTAATACTCTTTGACTGAGAGAATGCCTCCAGGTTAGGCGATTCTCTAACTGTTCGAAACACCATAGAGCCTGAACAAAAATTAGCACAAAGCCTTTGTCACCAAATTTGAAGTATCGAAGACAAAACAATCGGATTACTTAGATCAGCGACAGGAGGGCGGCTTCTAAAACGGATGATATCACCCAGAGCCAGCAGTAGTTAATTGATTCATAAAAGATTCAGGAGACAAATTAAAAACCTCAATCACCAGGACTGGAAAATGAAAATCGAAATAGCATAGTGTTTCCTTTCTTTCCTTGTTAATTTGGACGACAATAGTTGTGTATCTTTGTCTTTCAGGAAACTTTCACTCTGCTAATTCTGTAGCTACACCATTTTTGAAGTTCGCAACTTTTATATTTTATTGTTGTTGTAGGGGAACTGCATGTTTACCATTTTATTTCCAAGAATGACCAATACCTCATTTCTCCTTACAATATGAATAAATTATAAAGAAGACGAGTGGCAAAAATAGGGAAAATGATAAACTACAAAAAATTGTTTCCATGTGCAACTGATAGCCAGAGTTAACATTTCCATCGTGGAACTGAAAGGGTAGTGTGATCAAGACGTAAATACCACAAGGACAAACAACTTTCAAGCAATTGCAAAGCCAACTATTTCCCCATCGGGAATGGGTCTGTATAGAATAGGACTTCATGGAGTTTTTTCTTTAACTCTTGCTTTTGTTAGAGACACGTTTCGCGCAGGAATAACATTGTATGTTTTATGCTTTGGTACGAAAACTTTGCGTGCTCTCGATGAGAATGTTATGTTTTTTTTTTTTCAAAAGACGTAACGCCGATTGTGACAAAAATGGCATTTTCACCCACGTATCACGTAGTCCATTAGGAGGTCGTTAAAAAGTGTGCGAGTAATCCGAGAGCAGGTTTGAAATATTCTCGTTGATTTACTAAAGGAGATACACACCGGTGTAAAGTAAGTACCAACGACAGGATAACGATAAATTCAAACACGATGATTAGAAAGTCTGAAGGGAAACACTTGAATTAAAGCGGGGAAATCTGGAGAAAACTGCGCGCAGAAAAAAAGAAATGAAAAGAAACACAACGTTAAAACATTCAAGGAAATTTTAAGATTAAAAGTGACATGCCGGTCATACTTCTTAACTAGATATTGAAGGTTTAACTGTAAATCAGGTACGCTTCTACGCGGAAACCGGCGAGAGAGAAGTCACTACCCTTTTTCGTAGTTTTCAATTAATATAATTTCCTGAATTCCTCATAACAAATATCGTTTCAAATAACGGCAGGATGCAAAGGGCTGGGATTATTAAAAGCAGCCATTATCAGTCTTACAAAACCTGCGACTGAAGTTATTGTTATCGAATGAAAGAAGCTAAATAGTATGCCTGGAGCGATAATCGGTGCCCGAACCTGTTTGCCACGCACGAAGTGCAGCACGTAACACTGGTAACAATATACGAAAAAATTGCTTTTCTAAATAAAAGTGAAACTAAAATTACAAAAAATCACCGAGTTGTATTCTCGATCGTCGAAAATGTTTTTCTTTCGCAGTAGCCAGATCAAACGAGCATGGAGTAACTGATGTTAAAAACAGATGGCATTAAATATTCATTAAACGTAAGTTGTACAGTACATTAACTATACTTTCTTGTTACAAACCACAAATTGCTCGAGCTAGGTAATGAGATATTCGAAAGCAGAGCCAGAGTAGTTTCTTTTTAAGGATGTGTGGAGTTTTTATAGGTAGAATTCAGTTGATATAACATGAATCCTTCCAATCCCAAATGCTTGATAAAGAATTCTTGGTCTTGCCTAATATTCAACGAAAAAATTGACGCGAAATAGTGTAATGACATTACATCCGAAAAATGGAAAACGTAATAAATCTTACTTTCTCAAATTTCCCGAGCATCATTGTTGTCAGAAAACTGCGAGAACGTTCATAAGATAATTCAGAAATCATGTGTACCAACTCTTACAACGTGCAATTGGGCGTGTACCATTTGACATCCTTTTAAAGATGTCAACTTAGAAGAGACAGCAAAAGATAAAACAACCCTCTCCTTTCAGAAAACATTATTCATCTGCATTGTGGATTATAAAAGCCTAGAGGACGTAAAGAAGATCTTATAAAGATGCAGATTACACAGGATTTGTAAACAACAGGGTCGAGATAAATGGCGAGGTTATAATTGTACATCTATCTTCGTCGTTTTCAAATTACAACCGGAGAGCGAAGCTTAAAGTAAAGGCGGAAAAAGGAAGGGCAGTTCTCATTTGCATGAAGTGGATTAATCAAACTCTTAACAACTATCTTGCTGAATGTTCAATGAAGATAAAAAAAAAATGTTGTAAAGGTCGTAAAATAAGTGTTCTGTTAAATGTTCAATTCGTTTTGAACACCAGTCCATACACGTTTAGACAGAAATTCATGAACTTACTCTTCAATTTGTATGAGTGATGATTTTCTTAACTTTGCTAGCACGAAGATGAACATTTTGATTAATGAATGCTGAAGTCTACTTGCAATTTTCTAAGTTTTCTTTTAAAAACGCGAAAACCCTCTTGCAGGTGAACTTTCCAAAATTAATAATGTCGCTGTCTTTGAGGATTGGACAAATGGCAAGGAGGTTTGAGACGCCTTATCTTTTGCCACCAGTTGTTATGATTTACAAGCTGAGTACCAACAGAACGGAACTCCATGCAGAAGAAGTAAAAGTCCCGATTTCAGTTCTTCTCTTCGCTTTTAAAACTACAAACGAGAGAATTTCTCTTTTACGAACTGTGGAACAGTATTAATTGTTTCGGAGTTTAGTCTAGGTTATCCGGTCAAACAATGCTGGAAACCGTGGAGTTAAAGCAGTTTCTAAAGCCAGACTTTAGGCTATCACTGACCGTCGAAATACCGACAACAGGGGTTATTCTACAAAGTAGGAGGCCCTGTTATTTCGATACTTCAGCCAAACAGAACTGAACATCAAGCAAACAAACTTACAACAGTCCATTTTGAAATCAAGCAAAAGTGCACTCTCACCTTTAGATGCGATCGTGTCCATGCTTGATATAAACTGGCCCTTCATGTAACACGTTAGAATTCCAATTTAGCGACGCGTAAACAGCGCTCTGGAGCTTCTACCAAGGACGTCCTGCTGTGTTCACTAACTGAGGAAGAAAGAAGGAATAGATATCAATTAATTTCAAGAAACCAAATAAAGCAAAAGGTCCAGTCGAGCGAACAGCCCTGACCTGGGCCGGCTTGAAAATATCGAACACACTGCTTTCCTATTTTACTATCTTAATCGAAAAACGACAGAAACTGAATTGTGTGCCGAGCAAACATAAAAGATTACTTTAAACTTGACTATTTTTAAAGTAGTTTCCTTTCAGTGTAGTATGGAGCGGTTTTTTTTTTTTCGCACAGTGCATAAATAACTGGAAACACAATATGGAAAAATTGCCACTGTACTAAAGATCTCACCAACCTGCCAAAGCGACTTAAGTGAAACGGCTGTATTAGTTTGTTGTTGGAAAGGCGTAGAAAATTAAGGCCAGTGAGTCTCATTTCCCTGTTATACATTAGCAAGTTATTGTCATGAAACAATTTAATGTGGACGTCATAAATGTGATTTGAGTTTTTTTTCTTATTTTATCAATATCTGCCTTTAGGCACGCAGATGTCAGTATAGAAGACAAAAACATCTGTCAAACAGAAAGGATTTGTTTCGCTCACTCGGTAAGACGGCTAAAGATAACTATGGCTTTAAAACAGAAACGACTCTCCTCAAATATATCAGTTGGTAAAATGTAATATAAACAGTAAATAAGTGAGTTATTGCCAGACCGAGAAAGAGGGTCGTTTTCTCAGGACAAGACCCACCCAAGAATCTGCAGATATACAACTATCTTGATGAAAAGTTGAGTATTTTTAGCGGTGTTTTAAAAACGAGCTTTCACTTGAAAAAGAACGTTAAACACAATGCAATTGACTGACAGAGAAAATTAAATATCGCTTTGTTGTTTGACTCTAGAAACACTACAAAATAACAAATACAGCGAACAAAATGAACTAAATTACAAATTAACACAAGGGCGACAAATGGTAGCGAAATTAATGGTGGGAACGAGATTTGCTAAATCCCTGCAAGGAAAATTTTATTTATGAGGGACACCATCATTGGTTTGCACGAATCTCAAGTTGGGTAAAGAAAGATGCAATTTCATTATACTAAGTTGATAATGGGCACCTATATATTTTTGGATAATCTTCTCTCGCATTTGCTTAATAATAGCTTTTATCCTTTAATCTATTTGCATTTGACGAAGTCGCTTTTTCTGGTCGATATATTCACTTGCTTCGCAACGTGCGATTGGAGGACTTGAAAGGCAAAGACAAGTCTTAATGCTATGATCTATTCAATGGTCAAAATGGCTTGAGACTCACAAAAGTGCAAATTAATTTCCAATTTCAGCATTGAAGGGTTTCTTGTTTCTTTGTCGATGTTGCTCTGGGATCAATATCGCTCCCCTTGCAAGATTGTATTCACTTTTCAAAAGTGGTAGACTAACTGAGAGAACTGACTTGGTTAGACATCGCTCTAATATAAGACAAACACAAAACGACAAACTCGCTTTGATTATTAAAGGGATTAATTATCAGAAAAAACGAATAGAAAGATGTACATCTGATTTCTAAAGTTCTCTAACTTTCGTTAAACCAAGACGAAACAGACAGAACTTATGCTTTCAGCCGAGTGACACACAATGCAACTGAATACGTACGAATGGTAAACCTGGGAAACAAGCCAAAAATTATTTTAGAAGACATCTTTTCCTACAAGTCCAACCCTACTTACACGCTCTACACTTAATATTATTTTGTTTGTGTCATATTCAATTTATAAACACGACAGCCTTTCACCAAACACATGCAAATTAGCGGAAGGTGTTTTGACACAAAAGAAAGATGTCACACCGCTACAGCTGATAAACGCAATTCGCAGTTTACCCGTGAAGGTAAACACATACAAGAGAAGGTCCCTTTACGGCTTCAACGCTCGAGTATACTTACTGTTTGGTTACATTTTCGATGGCCCGCTGAAGATATTTCCAGTAGAATTCTTTCCGAGAACACTGTCAGTTACGGGTAAGAAGCGACGAAACGAAGTCGTGTTCGCTCAGCTGTCAACTGCCTTACGCGAAAATCAGAAATTAACTTTGCGAACCTGTATAATTTTGTGAAAGTCCGAGAGAACACTGTTCGTTGAAAAATCTTCACGCCTGGAGTGTAAGGTGATCAAAGCGTCATCTCAGAGATATTCATTTCAATATCGCTGTGAGTTAGAGATAAGTGGTTTTGTCTTTAGAAGTTTCTTGAAAAGAATAAAATTATATTCTCGTTTGAGATCGGGTTCATTTCGCCACCAGTTTTTCGCTCCGCCTATAAGGTGTGATTCTTCGTTTAAATATATGTAAGAGGAAAACGAGTGAAACGGTCAGGCTACGTCGCTTAAAAACCACCTGTTAATTGGAAAGGAAAAGAGAGGCCAAATTTCAACTATGAAACTTAATGCGCGTGAATACACCAAACAAACCAAATCGCTTAGTAAACTGTTTGATATTCTGTCACCTAGTGGTGTTCATGTGAGAAATCCTGTGAAATCCGATTGTGTTAAAGAACATCAAAATCGTGACCAGCCCCTGAGGGCAACCTTAAATCTTTTGGGACTGCTATTGTACAACGTAGAACTGACAAGCAACGGGTTTTGCATGTGATGAAAATATTGTGTTACGGGCACAATAAGTTTTACACGTTGTTCAATGGCGCTTCGCTTGGAAAAACGCCAATCTTGCCACAAGTTCACACTGTTTTTGACGCGAAAATATGTTGTGAATAGAGCTCCAGACACTGGCGATGGTTAAAGACTGATGTTTAGCTCAGAATTTAATAAATAAACACCGCATGTGGTACAAGGCTTTAACTGTGCAAGGGATTAGATGGAATGTTTAACCAAAAGGGAACCTATGGGTTGAAAACGCTTTTACTATATCGTGGCAAAAGCGAAATTGAATTCCACGGAAAAAATTTATGCCCGAAGATTGAAAGGAAAATTTCGCTTCAAGGAACAGGTAGCATTCAAAAGAAGCTCTGTTCTTCAATAGAATTAATAAAAATTAGGAATAAAAGTCGTCTTGTATCAACAAAAAGAGTAAGTTCCCTTAAACGAAAATGTGACTCGTTGAAATGCATCCATGTCGTGAACTTGACAAATATTTTAATATTTGCGGCGCACTTAGTGGCTCAATAACCTTGAAATGTAATTTTTCACCTTAAAGGACTGGCCGACCTAAATTGGATGAATTATTCATGTCGTCTGAAAGCAAACGGGAAAAACGCTTTCCCTTTATCTTTTACATGACGGAAAGGTTGCTTTGTTCTACACGAAAGCTGGTGTATATCTTGGGTAGATATGAAATGGTATTACTGCTTGATGGTAGTAAACGGAGAAAAAGTTTGCTACCAAAACCCGCAATTCCTCAGTGTTCACTTGTTTAAAATATTTCGAGATTATAGAGAACATCTGTCTAGGAGAGACAGTGTTGCTTCAAGTGCTAAAAGCAACCACACATTAAAGTGTAATTCGAGGCTGGTCTCCTTGTATTTCTGGCCGGGTATCTTTACAAATGTAGTTCCCTCGTTTGTAGTGCTATAGGGCCCTTCAGGAGAAACAAGACCTCACTACTCAGCGAGACAACTGAACAGTAAGCTAAAGGTACGTGTTTGTGATGTATAAGCAAAATTGAAAAGAGGGGTAAAGATCAATGTGTTCAGTGGTAAAAAGAGATGGCTGGATTGAACCGCTTGAGCTTGCCGCGGCTAAAAGTTTGAAGCACGCCAAAGAAAACTTGGCGACGGAATCGATTCGTAGCTTTCTTGAAGGCGATTTGTGTTCAAATTTGTCATCCTGTCAGATAATTGACGATAAAAGCTATCAAGTTTTATATCACAGAGTTGAATTTTCCAGTCTAACATAGCAACCGGTGTAGCACCAAGTAAAAACAGGCGAGCAGGGGAGGGAGTGACAGGATTGTAACTCGTGAATTCACAAATAACCCCTATCGTTCGCATTGAGTAATTTGTGACGCTGCTAAATGTTCACATACAGCGAGATTTTAACAACTTTTTTTTTTTTTTCAATTTTGGATTGTTTTATAATAGAGAAATATTCTATTTCATTGCTTCAACTTGATTTGAATAAGGGTGAAAGGTATATTGTAAACGCAAACCAAACAACACGACGAATTTGAAATACCTCTTGCAATTATGAAGACATTGTTAAATATAAGGCTGTCATGAAGAATAAAGAGCAATTTCTATGCTTTTCAATTCCTAAGTTTGCTTCACTCACCAAAATCTATTTATACAAGTAAACGACACAAGCAAACAAATTCCGCCTCCTATAATGGAAGCGCTGAATATGTGTGAATTTTTAATTGAAGAGCTGTTCCAATTTAAAACGTAGTAACGACATATTGAAAATAAAGTTCAATTCTGCGACAAACTGATCCCAGAGCGCCTGTTAACATGCACGCACAATCTACCGTAACTGAATTTTTTTATACATGTATGTGTTAAGACATAATGAGATACGAACTCGACATATGTAGGGACAAAGCGTTTATTATTGGTAAATCAGTTTCACACGTGAGACAATTGAGGAATTTCCTGATAATTTCGAACTCTTTTTTGCTTCTATTTGCATCAAAGCAAAGAGAATATAATGAATTCATTAACTGAATTTTATCTTAACAGCTGAGTCAATGGAATCGGCAATCAGTCAGTCAGTTAGTCGACACAAACATTGGGAAAACAAGGTGGCCACCCGAAAAATCTATTTTAGATGATCATAGCCACCTGAAATGTCGGGGCTGAATCTTCAAAATGAAGTAAAAAAGTATGATTTTAAGAGTTATCCAGTTTAGAGCTGAGAACTAAACACAGAGAATTATGGCTAAGTTAGTTCAGTTTTTCCACTGCACGTATAAATATGAAATATAAAAACATGTCCCATTTGATTGTTAAATTGTCGGACGATGAAACATCCAGAGTTCTAATGAAGACATATACCTAGGTCAAGTTTGAAAACATCATAAATCTTTTTGACAGTGCTTTTTATGTCAGTTCAGAAACATAACTGAGAATCATGTAAACGTTAAAAGCGTTAAGCATATTGAAGATATATTTACCCGAACAAGACTTATCATGGCTTTTAGTTATAAACAACATTTACTTTGCTGTCTTGCACAGCTACTTTCATACGAAATATTCAGCTAGATCAGAACGGCGTAAGAAAAAATTAACAGCGGGATTTAACTCAAAATTCCGACAAACCTGAAGTCGGTAACAAGTATGTTTTCGAATATCAGACTGCATACGGGATACAAGGGATTTTACAAACACCTCGCTTGTAGTCAAACTAATCTATTTTTTTCACGGTCAGTCCAGCTCTGTTTGTGGGCACCCTGATCTACTGAAACTCGGGCAAATATTTTGCAGGGATCATTGCTTTAGCAATTAAACTCAACGCGATTGTAAATGTCAATCTGTCCTCGTGGATGGAATAAAATACTCTCATGAACAATACAGAGCTGAAATGCATACCCGGCTTCAGTGAAGTTTGTGTAGCTACTATGCTTCAAAATAATGCACAGTCGGCAAATTTAGTCTACGAAGGACAATAATTACAAGGAAAAGTTCAATCGAAGATATGAAATTTATCAGCGGTTATAAGCAAGATGTAAACGCGATTTTGTTTGCGCCCTATATTTGCATATCATCTAAAGCGGATGATCTAGACCACTCTCTCTTGATATCATGCAGTCGCTGTTCTGTCTTTATACACAACTTATCTGAACTGACAAAGTGCTGATGATTTTAGGTAGCGACCAAACGAATAAAAATTTCTTTTGTTTACAAGATGAGTTAAGAATTTATTAGGGACAGCAATACAATAGTCACTTACCACAGTGTTATGTGTGAGCACCAAAGCATGTACATAACACCAGACTGAAAGTATACGAATTGCAAGCTGAAAATTTACGACATGAAATACAACCATTTCAACTATGGTTTGAATTAAAAGTTCTACTATAGAGTCACCAAAAAATAACCAGCCAAACAAACAAACAGAGACAAATCGAGGCTATAAGCTATATGAAAGCCTCTATCCCTGGAAATCCTAAAGCTCAACAGAGTCGAAGAGCAACCTTTCAAGTAATGATAACTCAGCATGCTAAAACAAACACCACATTACAGAATTCCTACCGCCAAACCCCCAAACGTTAATAATATATTGTTCCAGAGCGAAGTTAAAGTGCATTTTAGAGTATTAAAGTACATCAAATAGAACTTTCCTCTGGCATTAAGAGGGTCAATGTCTTTTCCAAACTGAAAATATGTTGGTGAGCTGTAGAATAACTGCTGCCGTGTAGACGGGGAAAAGAAAAGAAGTTAGGTTTTCCAATAAAAACTCAAATATACATAGTTGCTTAGGGATTAAGACAAATGTCAATTCACAATGAAGGAAGCTGAACGGTAAATCTAGGTGGAGAAATCGAGACACAGAAAATATCCTTTACATTTATCAACACAACCTTTACAGATGAGTGAAAATACGAAAACTGCGCGCTAAAGTAAACTATAAATTAAACTAAATTAAGACCTGCAGGCGAAAATTAAAACTCATTTCTTTTTTAAAAGTGCATTCTGGTCGATTTGAAAAGTTGTTATAGGACACTAGATAAACAGAAAACCTTCAGGACTAAGACACTGTCGTCAAAGGTTCGAGAAGTGTTTTTTCCTTGTTTAGCTTTCTGGTTAGGCAAGAACCATGGCAAAACCTTATGGAAAAAGTTTGGTGTTGGTTTACAGTACTTTTAGAATGTAAGAGAAATTAAGTGTCAGCCAAGTCAAAGGACGCCCTGTGCTTGCCCAGAATTTGAATAGAGCAGTTGTTAACAGCGATCGGTGTGAAGCGGGAGTATGCATACCGCGAGGAATAATAGCATCGCAAATAGAACTTCGTAGCAAAATCAGTTTTTCCTATAGAAACAAACAAAATGTCTCACCTTTAAGGGCAGACTTCAAAAACAAAATTAGCCGGTGTAAGTTTTTGTAGGCGTCGATCTTTCTCACTTACAACAGGTGCTGCATAGACATGGACGTCATATTTGTCCGTCCTGCTAAAGCGAGCCAGTTGAGCTGCCCACGCGAAGGGAACACGTGGTTTTCCTAATAAGGCAAGCGTGCGACTATGCGGGGAGTTCCAATTTTGTATTGCCCTCTGAGTCACTCGACTCCAGTATGGGTTTTGATAATAAGGGGTGAAGATGAAAGAAAAGAATTAAATGGCTTTGTTTACTCATAAAAAGAAAACACAGCCTTTCTTTTCCAAACATATAGTCTTCTCTTCGATGACTTATAAAGTCACTTCGATGGAATCTCATTACCTGTATTTTTACATTGCAGCCCTTCATTGTTAAGTGGGCCGGCCCACAGCCACCGTAGTCTGAACTTCAACTCATTTCCCTTGGATACGATTGGATTCAAATCTCAAATCCTCTTTTGTTTTTCTTTTTTTGCCAAATACTTTGCAGACGATTCTTCCACTTTCATACAATGCAATTGCATGAAGACATTATTTCTCAGAAAAAATCAATTTGTGAGAATAACTGCTAAGAGTGTTCCTTTATGATTTTCATTGTTGTCAGTAGAGCCACATTTATATGAGTTGTATCCCTGGTTCATTTCACGCATTTTTTTTTCGTTGCAACCCAACGGAAATAGCTGCTGACGACGATTTGTTTTGGTATCGGTTCCATGCTGAGATTCATAAAATCGAATCAAAGGAAACTCGCCAAATTTTTGTTTACAAGCCTGAGCACTGTATGAATTAATTAATTTAATTGGCTGTGGCACCTCCGCCTCATAGAAATAGGATTATGCCTTTCGGAACTAGTTCAATCTAAAATCATTTGAAGGTTTCCTTCGGTATTGCGTGTCATCATTTTGCCGTTTAACTGTTTATTTCTAGAAGGTGATACCTGTCTGTGTCCTCATTTTCATCTCAGTGTATTATCGTACAGAAAAGTGACGAAAATTAAGAAACCCATTCACTAGAAAATATGGTCTTGGTGCAATAACATAACTATTGGGTACTCATAGGAGGAACTAATATAATTTTTCTGCGCTAACTTGTGAGAGCAGACGGGTTCGGCATGTTTTTTCACACCACTGTCACTAGCGACAGAATGATAATACTACTAATAAAAGGTGAAGTGGACACAAGTCTTCGAAACATTGCAGCTGAACAATTTGGGAACGCTGATATGCTCCCAAGACCTCACTAAATGTTCCTAGTATTTTCATGTAAAAAATATTCTTAGTAAAACCTGCTCGCCAAGCACAAGTGGCAAGACAGTCATTGTGATTCATTTTAGTACTGGACATTGCTAATTTGACAAGGTCAAAAGCTCGCACCAAATTGCATAGGCTAACCTATAGGCGTAGCACCCAAAATGTAAGGATGGTAAAGGCAGAAATCACGACCGAGATTCCTTCTGTCCTCAAGAGGAGAGGAAAGGAAAGCTTTTGACCCGAGTGTGCAACTGAGCAAAGCGTATCACATCATGATATTAAAAACTCAGTGAAGAACTGTCAATGATGAACCAACCAGAGTTCTGCCTTTAATGAACTCGTGACAAACAGTTGTGCAGAGAATTTTACTTTGACACTCATAAATATTCTTATCTTCTTATCAAAACAGACTCCTCTTATCTACCACGAGCGATTTTTATTGGGATTTTTGGGTCAAATAATAAGCAGTCACATTATAAGTGCTGTCGTTAATTTTCCTCCTTCGCTACAGGTCTAGCAGCATTGCGATTTTTGAAATATTTCAAAATCGAGCTTGGGACAGAGGACAGAAATGAATGCAACATTCTTAGAGGAAAAAAAAACTCCTAATGAAAATTGTACAACATTGGAATGGATCACCCCTCATAACTGTATTCAAGCCGGTTTGCTTTGGAAATCTTTCTATTGTTCTCGTCGCATTATTCCTAACAATCGCAGCAAAACAGTCTTTTGGGAGACATCGCATTGGGCCGGTTTTTTGTATATTCCACTGAGTGTTTTTCCCTTTTGAGTTTATAATCTTGATTGCCATTCTGGAAAACATTACGAAATGAGCTGGAAGCTTAGTAAGTCGATGCACCAACTTCCATGATTCAAACTGGCTGAAATTCATCAAGACAGTTATGAGTTTAAACTATAAAAATTCCCTTCTTTAACCGAAGATATTCCATCACGCAGCTTTGGTATAAAGTGTACATTAAAATTTCGTTTGTAAAGTACCATTTGTAACTAAAGCTAACTAAGTTGTATTACTTACTTTACGCCTAATGTTCTTTCAGCTTATCGGCGGAGACGTCGCTTTGCAGCAGAAGTTCCAGTAACAGACCTTGATGACTGGGAGGGTGAGATAAATGGCTTATTGACTGCAGTTAATCGGACGAGTGTAAGAAAAATGCCTAAGTGACTGTTCAGATAGCAAAAGAGCCGTTAAATGGGCAGGTACACAACAAAGGACATCCGTTAAGGAAGTGGTTTGAGTGGCCACCAGCTACTCAACTTGGGGACTTTAAATGGGTTCGGAAGCCCACTGAAGGCGGAATGTCAAAGCTTAACGCGCATTGGTCAAACACGCGCTCATGACGTGCCAAAGAGCGGGACGTGAACTCAACAGTCAATAAGCAGGCAGGTTGAACGCCATTCCCAATTAAAACCACAGGAAGGGAAGTCACGAATTTTCAATACACTGGGCACAGCGTAAAACAGTTACTCCAGGAAAAGAAAAATGTCGTGTTTATTTTGAAATAAAATTGTTTGACTACCGAGGACAAACACACGCCAGGCAATAGCACAGTTGTGTTCCGCAGATGCGGAGATTCAAACGCGCCGACTTTTAATGCTTTTTAGTGGGTAAATAACTTCAAAAAGCCGTGTAATAAGTGACAGCCACTTCTGGTTGGCGGGCCGTTAAATACCCTTTTAGAGGGAAATACCTTCTGTCGTATCTTAAGATACAGGACACAGCATGTACACAAGTGGACAATTTCTTACCTATTTAATGTTCTTTTTCCCGATAAGAAACACACCTTAAACTATAGTGCGATAAAGAACGAAAAACAAGACTTGTATTGTTTTTAATGAAGCGCAGAGAGAGAAAGCAGAAAGATAATTTAAATGAAATGATATTTAAAATGAAAATATTTTGGGTAGTGCGCGAAATGAGATAAACTCGAAGAGGAAAATTCAAGAATAAACCGAAAGTGAAGATAACTGTGTTGCTGCTGATTCGAAAGGAAAAGAGCAGAGAACATTATGCGGAGCTATTCCCTTTGTATGCGTAAACATAGTAACCTTTATCTCCAAAAACTAGAAACAAAAACGAATTCTTCAGGTTTTGAACAACTCATTCGCATTGCCACTCGCTAGGAGTACGAACGGGATATTAAATTTCTTTTAAGCTCGGCGCAGGTGCGTGCTAATCTCTTAGGTGCGCATTCCAGAAAAACGCAATCAGCCTTAACTATAGCGCAGCAAGAGATTTCTAAACTGTCGGTTTTTCGGCATGACCGCTTCAGCAACACAGCGGGGTAAAATTATTACCTGTAGCGAGCGCAAAGAAAGTTCTGAAGGAGTTTGATTTTATGCTTACAATAAAAGTTCATTACGTTCAAGTCACATTAAGAACGATAAAACAGTCGATGCCAAAGAGCACTTTTATGTCTCCAGATGTTTACTTTTAGCGACGAAGATTCATAATAAAAAGAGCAGGTACTTTAGCTCTTCAGACAGGTCTTTACAAAATACAGAGAACAGGAACTAAAAGTAGTGTCAGCTCATTCTCTCAAAGAGGTTTTCTTTTTTTTTTTTCTTTTCTCGTCCTTTCGCCGTGTGCCTTCTGAGAGTTTGTTTCTTCACATAGCGAAAACTTGGTAAAAGATTTGAAAACTCGAAAGATTTGCGACAACAGCGCGGCTATTGACACGCAGTTTATTATGCTCAGTGTACATGCTGAGAGTTCATGCATGAAAAACACTACAATTATTTTTTACAAACTTGGTGCTGAATAAAATGTCAGCATGTAGAGCTATATACGTAAGACAAGGCATTGTAAGGAGCTACCACAGAAAACATGATATTCGGTAAAATGTTCAACGCGCTTTGAAAACATTAAATTCAGCTATGCCGTGGATTAAACTGTTAGTTACTATACAACAGCAACTGTTACATATAGAAACATGCGTAAAAATCTTAAAAAGACAATATATAAAATGTTCAACATGCGCTTCTCAGTAATTAACTGGGCAAGTTAAGTCGACGGACTGGAGCAGTGAAGTAAACTGAAGAAACTATATTTGGTGTTTTTTCCTCTTATCTTATTGTTCGTGTAAGAACAATTCTAAATTCTACAAGTTGAGAGAAGACTTTGGAAAATCTAAATTCATTTGATATATTAATACATGCAAACAAAGAAAGTACAAGGTCTCGATTTGTAAGTGAGATTTTTTAGTCATCAAGGCATAAACTGAATTTCACTAGTGTAGCGAAGATATCGTGTTAAAGACAAGCCTGTCAAAAGAGTTTTACTTACTCTGAACGCTGTTGAAGATCAAAGTGTGAATTTTGTAGTAAACGAGAAAGAACTAGCGACAAATAGCGAATCTTGTGTTTACATAAAGTACGGGTGACATTCATTGTGTACAAAATTTTGCTAACTTTGGAAATTTCCGTGAGTTTTTTGTCGATTTGTGTTTAACAATGCTCATGTGGATACGATACACACTATAAAATAAAAGAAAAAAATAGCAAAAACAAAGAAAACGGAAATCTTGAAAAAAAACGACTTGCATTGCGGCGACTCATTCCTCGCGAAACAGGCGGAGATGGTAAACACCACGTGCGTTTAGAAGTCTTGTGAATGAAATTTCATGTTCATCTACTGAAAATGAAACAAATGAAATCACAAATGAATCTTTAGCTTGCAGCTTTCCGCGCGCATGCAGACAAACGGACCCCGCTCCGCGCTCCACTGCTGTGAATTCACCTTTAGTTAATGTGTTGTGCTATTAGGGCCATTTCCTAACTTTGTTGCAAAAGCTGTTAAGGCGGGACAAAGCAACAGATACACTTACCGCTGGGCTGATAAATATTTTAGCTTTCAAACGTGGTGTAGTTAAAATAGGCAAAGCGACGAAGGTCATGACTTCACAATAGCGGCTTTCAGTTGACTCATATTTGCTTATTGAGCGGCGAAGTTACTTAACAGGAAGAAAGTCTCTGTAGTGTATTATATTCTTTAGGACACTCCTTGAAGAGAAAAACGCAAAATTCAGAAATAGAGCCTAAATGACAAGATGATGCATTTTTTTATGACAAACAGATCTTTTGTGTTAGCTTAGAAACTAGGCAAATGTAATGATGACTGATTTTGTTATGCTGCTGATACAGAAGTACTGTGACTCTATTTGGCCATGGAAAATGAAAATAATAACAGTTTCATTTAAAGGTCTAATATGTTAGATTTCCCCTTCAATAAGGCAATAATAAGATTTCTCATAAGAAGTTTTTTAAAAGATGTAGTTTGAGCTCAACACCAATCATATGAACTTTTATATTCACAAGAGAGATCTTGTGTTATTAAACATAGATGTGAATTATAGTCCCGAGATTTCGTGATTTAATATGTTTTTCATAGTATTGAATGGACTTAAAAACTTAAAAACCAATCAATAAAACAGTTAAAAGCAAACGAAGCATTGGCAACTGAAGCCTTAATCTAACCTTTATTTTTATCTGAGGGGAAACGGCAAATATGCTAAAATGAGGAAGTTAAAAATTGAATTTCCATCTGCAAAGCAAACAAATGTACCAAAAATCTTTATTGCACATCTACCATGTACATGGTATTTCTTTTACTAGAAAATTATCCGTTCAAAGGTTTGGAAGTTGTTCACAGAAATTCTGTACCTTCCCTGGATTTATTCTGTCTTGTAATAATGAAGCCACAACGGAAAACGGTGGTCTTAGAAATACAGTTTACTATTTCGGATTTAGGGCTTGCGGGTTAGGATGGCCATGTACCGAATGCTAAGCTTTTAGGTAACGTAGTTCACTTGCAGCAAAATGAGGCTACGACTCCCAACAGGACTGCTTAATTATGAAGTGAAAAAAAAAATTGCTTCATTTTTGATAATTCCATCGGGATAAAACCGAAAAGAGAAACAAAGCAATCAACATGACAATTTTCTTAGACTGAAACATGACGGCCGAGAACTTGATTGCAAGAAATGAAAATGTCGTTGGCCACGAATACTCTTCATAAAGACCTCATTCCGCGCGGCCTAAAAATAGCTATCTTCGAATAAAATGAAAATAACGAGCATTTAAAGCAAAAAGGACAACAAAGGTAGACAACACAATACCAGTATTAAAGAGAGAGAGTTTTGATTACACTGTTTTAGTCCGTAAAGCCCTAGGCAATACGCTCTAAAACATCAGAATAGCTCTTACAATAAGCAAGGTAATGGGGAAATAACGAAGATCGAAGTTTATAACGAAGAAAAGTTGGGAGAAAATGGTCATGACGAGTTTCTATTTCGTTAGGAAAACATTAGGAGTTTGGTACTTACCTGTGAAAAAAAATCGCTCTTTGGATGGTGGAGGAATTCTGTATTTCAATATAAATGCCTCGGTTTTGGGAGGTTTGCGTGATCTTTGTCGCAGCTTCAAATTTGAAAACCGTCTGTAGAAAACCACTGCTTGATTGGCTGGCAACTTCGGAAAATTAGGGCGTTTTAGGAAAAATACTCGCCTTTTTTAGCTGAAATGGTTGGAAGTTTGCTGGACTCCTCTGCTTGCTCCCTGCCTCGCAGTGTTCAGCTATTGAAGTTGTTCAACAAAGAGTATAATATATTCCTGTCTAAAAATTGCCTATTTGTCTCTGTGCTAGAGAAGGGAGTAGGCACAATTCTTACGCGAGAGGCAGGTATCGCGGCGGTGGCACCAGTCAAACACAAAGGGAATTCAACCATTGAAACAACTGGCATTGAAAAGAAATAATTTTCCACGTAAACATTGACTTAGGTGCAGTGAAAAAGCCTTTTGAAAGAGGAAAATCTGTAAACGACTGTGTTTAACCATATGCCATCTACAGAAGAGTCACTGAACAGAAGCCATTCGAAAGCTCATCAAAAGAACGCGTTCATGAAAGAATTTAGATGAAACGCAACATTCATCCAGCCACTGAACGTATCCCCTGAAAAAACCCTAGATTAAACGCTTGAAAGTATGAAACTAACGAAGGATTGTCGCCTGTTAAAGCTGCTAAGGACTGCGTAACACTTCTTGGCACAATCAGAGAACTGAAACAAAATCACTCCAGGACACAAAAGAAGTCTTGGATTTTCAC